ACCCAAATCTGGCAAAGCAATTGTGCTCGAGAAAACCAGAGAGGATTCCAGAGCATGTATTCAATGTACTAATGTTCGCTGGATGACTCTCAGCTGCCTCCTCCCCCAGCCCTTATTTCACATTTTCTTCCAAAAAAGGTTTGATGTTTTCCAAAGCGTTTATTTAAATTCCTCTGTGAGGGCTCTGGCTGCTCTGTGTGCTGCTCGGGGCCCGTGAGCTCATCTGTCCCCGGAGGGACTGGCAGGGCTGGGGGAGCTTTATTTTTGAACGCTGGCTGATTCCTGCATTCTTAGTGTCTATTTGCTGCCCTAAAGCTGCAGTTGTCTCCCCCCAGTGCCACCCCTGGGCTCAGGTGCAGCAGATCCTGGTGAATAACTGAGGGGATTTATTGTTGTGTTTTAAGAGAAGGACGATTGCTTTTCACCCACTGCACTGTGAAGTGACTGTTGAGGGATGGGGGTGGTGAAGGCTCAGTTTAGGAGCCAATGTTTCCCCTCTGTGTCTTCACCACGGGGCAGGAGGGCTTTGCTGTGCTGAGGGTGGGGAGAAGAGCTCTTGCCAGACTTTCCATCAGCAAACCCCTTTGCTGATGGCTTTGGGTCAGAACCAGGGTCAGAATCCCTCCAAAGGGATCCCACCTGGTACCAAAGCTTTGCTGTCTCGTCTCCATTACCATCTGACTGGGTTCCTCTCCTGTCTCACAGTCCTGGCACAAGTCCTGCTTCCGCTGCGCCAAGTGTGGCAAAAGCCTGGAGTCCACCACCCTGGCAGACAAAGACGGGGAGATCTACTGCAAAGGTCTGTGCCACGTCCCCTGCCCTGTGGGGCTGTTGCAGGAGGGTCCCTGGGCTCAGGTCCCCTCCAGTTGTCCTGGCTGCTGCTCCTGGAGGTGTGAGAATGGGGATGGGGCAGGGATCCGGGAGACGGTGACCTTGCAACTCTGGGGAGCGTTGCAGACATGGCAAACCCTGCCCTGCTTCAGGAGAAGAACTGCTACGGTGCCCTCGTGCCACTGCCCTAATGTTACTCCTCCTCTCTCTGCAGGTTGCTACGCCAAGAACTTCGGGCCCAAAGGCTTTGGCTTCGGGCAGGGGGCCGGGGCGCTCATCCACTCGCAGTGAGGCACCAGGAGCCGCGCTCTGCTCCTCCTGGGCTCCTGCAGCCCAGCCCTGGGTTTCCGCACACCGCAGCGAGCTCCCTCACCTCCTCCATCCCCGCCTGCTGCTTTGCGGCACCAGCGCCTTCCCCTGCCCCGACCCTGCGCTCCCCGAAGCTGCGGGAGCCCCATTGCCACCACGGGTCCCTCGGCACGGGCACACAGCTCGCTCCCACCCGCAGTGAGGCTCCCAGCGTTCCGCTCCGCGTCGCCCGTCCCGCCGGGATGAGCCGCGCTGCGCCGTGTCACCGAGCAAGGAATAAAACATCAAAGCTGACCCAAGGCGTTGCCCGAGGGGTTGCGGGGTTGTTCCCCAGGAGCTCAGGGTGGAGCGGCAGGACGGGAAGCGGTGCTGTTGCAGCTTGCAATGAAAGCGGAGGGGCTCTCCCTGCAGCTCCGCAGCCCCTTCTGCCCTCCCCTCGTGTGACCATTTCCTAGGCAGTGTTTCCTTCCTGCGCTTCGCGCGGGCGCTGCCATGCGCACACCGCGTCCAAACCCATCAGCGCTGCTCCGTGGCGCTGCTCCAGGCAGCCGTGCCCAGCAGTGCTAACAGCTCGGAGCTTTTCACCTACTCCCGGGTTGGGTGTTGTTTTTTTTTGCTGGATTCTGATCCTCCAGCTTGGCAGCTCTCCAGGTTTAATTTGTTTTCACTGAAACACTTTGCTTTCGCTGTGTGCTTCTCTCCTTTGACCGGCGTGAGATACTCACGGATCAGCCTCGCCGCCTGTCCTTTCTAATCCGCAGTGGGACGGCTGCAACTGCTTCCCTCTGCTGGCTGCTGCTCCCCGGGCACGGTTCCGGACAGACGGACGGTTGTGTCTGCACATCTGTACCCATGCACTGCCCAACGCGCTGCATCCGCAGCACCCAGCCCTGATGGCAGCCTGGGGGCTGCAGCGCTGGGGATTGGGGATGGGGATGGGGGACCCAACACCGTCCAGAGAGATGCCCTGGGACGGTGGTGACAGAGCTGCAGCATCGAGCTCTGCTGGCTCAGCAGAATGAGACCCTTCTCTGGGTCTGGTCACCAGAGGACAGAGGGGAGGTGACAGGCTCTGTGACCTCATGGCTGTGGGAAACTGATCTTCCCATGGTGGCTGGAGGTGGCGATGCAGTGAGCAGCCCCAGCTGGCGAGGGAAGAGACCGTGGGGTTGGTGGCCAGCAGCATCACTGACATCCCCACCTGCTGGAGCAGAGCTGGGAAGGACAGCCCAGACTGCTGGCTTCCAAATTCCTGGGGTCCACCAACCCTGAGCGTGTGCTCCTTGCAGGGACCCACCTGCTCCACTCCCCCCAGAGCCCCGCGGGGCCGGAGCTGACCCCCCTCCGTGCCCAACATCCCAAACTGGGGCTGCTGGGACAGTGGGGACCGGTGCCAGCATGGTGATGTTGGCCTCGGGGAGCACGAACCAGTTCCTGACTGCACAGCGGGCCCTGCCCTGTTAATGAGGGATAATGAGGTGCCTCTCCTGGCGCTGCAGACTTGCCCCCTGGCCATGCTGGCTGCCAGCGCTGCCCCCGGCAGGCATCAGCCCCAGACGGTGACCCCGGTGCCGCTCCGTGGGGATTTTTTGTCCCCTTTTTTCGACTTTTTTATTTTATTTTGCTGAGGGCTCTGCACACTCAGCACCTCCGGGTTCATCCATCCGCCCGGGGTGCTGCAACAATCGCTCTGTTCAGCAGCTCATGGCCAGTGCCATGCACCCAGATGTCCCCACAGGCACAGCACAGCAGGGCCAGCTTCTGCCAGGGGCTGGCATGGGAACAGACGGAGCTGTCGTGGTCGGGAACAAGACAGGCTGGAAAGGCGCCGGTGTTTTGCTGCTGGGGAGGGAGGACTCCGGCAGGACCAGGCTGTGCCACACAGCCTCATCCCTGCTCAGCGCAGTCACACAAAGCTGGAGATGCTGTCTTCACTGTGGGACAGACTGGGGACACCAAATTGTTCTCCTTGAGGGGGCACAGGGGGACAGGAGCTCTGTGCAGAGGTATTGGAGCAGCTCCTTTGGGTGCAGGGCTGATGGGTGCACAACCTCCTTGGGATGGTGGCATGGACGTTTCCATCTGCAGATGTTCCCCTCCCAGCTCCCTCCTCACAATCCCTTCACGGTTGGTGCTGCACCCACAGCATTGTGCCCAGGCAGCACTGCACCCTGTAGCCCCATGTTTAAGACCCACAGACCTCTTCTACAGCTTCTACTGCACCCCACAGCCCTCTGTCCTGGCTGCTTCTGAACCCCATAGCCCCCCGCCCCAGATAGCCCCGCACGCACAGCCCTCTGTTCTTCGTGGTGCTGCTCCCCAGAATCCCACTGCACCCCCCAGCCCCTTCCTGGCTTAGAAGTGCCCCCAAAACTCCCCCGCCCCAGCTGGCACTGCACCCCATAACCCCACATGCAGGTGCTGTTGTCCTCCATAGCCTTGCAACCATCCGGTGCTGCACCCGCAGCCCCCTGCAATCCCCAGCCCCGTAGGACTGCAGCTCCACATCTTGTCCTCTCCCTGCTGCGCCTTTGCCCACGCCGTGCCCTGGGCTGTTTGCACGGGGCCCCAGGACTGCACCCGCCCGCAGGCACCCCGAAAGCACCGTGCAGGTGGGTGCAGCGGGGCAGCATCGGGCCTGGCTGGGCTTCGCCTGGGCGTGAAGGGTGCACAGCAGGAGGGGCCAGGCGAGGCGGGGATGGAATGCAAGTGGGAGAGCGGCCGGGCGTGTAGCAACAGATCCTGGGGAGCGCGGAGCCGGGGATCCCACACGCTGCATGGGGCAGGACGCCGAGCTCAGCCGCAGGGACGGCGGAATGGGGCGTCCCGTTGCTGCCGCCCCACTGTGAGAGCCGGGGGGGGGGTCGATCCGGGGGCCACTGAGCTGCGGGGGTCCCGACAGCCGCGGGGGGAGGGGTGGAAATCCCCAGCAGGGGATGCGCGGCTGCGGGAGCTGAGGAGCCGCCATGACCCCCGAGAAGGTGCTGCGGGAAGGGGTGCTGGAGAAGCGCAGCGGGGGGCTGCTGCAGCTCTGGAAGAAGAAGCGGTGCCTGCTGACTGAGAAGGGGCTGCAGCTCTTCGAGCCCAAGGGCTCGCGTCGAAAGGAGCTGAGCTTCGCCCGCATGAAGGCGGTGGAGTGCGTGGAGTGGAAGGAGAGGCACATCTACTTCACGGTGGTGATGGACGACAGCCACGAGATCGACTTCCGCTGCGCCCAGGAGGACCCGGGCTGGAACGCTGCCATCACCATGGGCCTCGTCCGCTTCAAGAACCAGCAGGCCATCCAGGTGGTGCGGGCACGGCACAGCTGCAGAGCAGGTAACGGCCCTGCTGTGCTCGGGGCGTGGGGAACTGGTGGTGGGATCCTGCCCCGAGGTGCTCCGGTGGCCCCAGGATGGGGGAGGTCCTTTCCTGGGTCTGCGTTGCGCGCCCCCCTGCCCTGGCTGGGCTCTGCTGACACCCGGTGCAGCCCCCCTGCCACTCAGGTTTCATCCCATTGCACCCCAAGAGAGGGACGCACTGATGTCGTCCCTCTCACAGAAAGACACGGGGTGGGCTCTGCCTTCTGGCACGTGGGGTGGGGGTGACACCACGCTCCCCAGGGCTGCCCCTGCTCCTGCCCAGCATGGGCCGGGTGGGTGAGCAGTGCTTCTCTCCGCAGTGGTGCAGTACGACGCAGCTGCAGTGGGACAGCGCGTGGCTGTGCAGCATCCCCGGAGCAGGATGGAGACGGCGCTCAGCTCAGTGGGAGGAGGAGAGAATAGGATCCCAGCCAGCAACTGAGCCCTTGGGGCTTCCCAGGAAGGCCAGTGCAGGCACCGGCCCCAGTGCCATGGGGCGGGACAGTGAGGCACCAGGGCATGGCTGCACCCACTTGGACCGATGGGGCAAAGGGCACAGCCAGGGCCACCACCAGGGGCTCCCCGAAGGTGATGGATGTGGCCAGGCCCATGGCGGACTGGCGGAGACCCCCGGCCTCTCCTGCAGGACAGGGGATGGGATGGGTGAGGCCGACCTGAAGGAAGCAGCGTGGTGTTGAGCCATGGGACATCGGATGTGGATGGGGACACAAAGACCCGAGACCCCACATGGTGCAAGGACTGCAGAGGGGACCCCTCGGTCACCATGGTGCGGTGACACGGCTGCGCCGCTGGATGCTGCCCTGGGGATGGCAATGTGACATTGTGGCCCCCAACTCCTTGTACTGACTGTACCCCCAACATGTCCTTCTGCTGCTTTGTTCTTTTTGCTTTGTTTTGCGGGATCACACAGTATATGGGAGAACACTAATCCTGCACAGAGCTTCACAGATTGTTCATAGACACCCCCTTAAATCTGCCAGCATCCCACAGCCAGGCTCCTGTGCCCCCCACCCTGCCGTCCCCTGCTGCTCCCGTGGTGGCTGGGGTTGGGTTGGGGTCAGGGTTAGGGTCAGGTCTTGCTGCCAGGCGGTGCAGGCAGGACAGCATCAGGGGAAGGGATCCCTCACCATGGGGCTGTGCCCAGACAGGCTGTGCTGATGTGAGTGCCGGGAGCTGCTGAGCTCCACAAGCTGCAGCCTGAGCCCCACAGCCCGGGGCTGTGCAGATCTGCTGGGAGCGCACCCGGCTGCGTGGGAACAGCGCAGCACAGTGGCCCTCTGGCCCGGCCCTGTGCCAAACCAGCTCTGGGTGTTTCTGGGGAGGGACGGTGGCACGGTCAGTGCCTGCTTGTCATGTTGCACCATGCCCCTTCCAAGCAGATCTTGGATGGATTTCCACCCATCCGCCTCCCTCTGGTATTGAGAATTGGGTTTTTTTAATAGGGTATGCAGGGGTGGGGGCACGCTGTGTGCAAGCAGACCCACATGCATGGAGCACAGGGCAGCAGCAGCACCTGTGTGATTTCTGCAGGAAGGTTCTCAGTGGGGGGCTGGATTTGCAGGGGAAAACTTCTTGTAAGGAGCCCCATGAGCTCTGCAGCAGTCTAAATGCTGCCCACATGTGTTAGCTGGCTGTTAGGGATGCAAGGAGTTCAAGGGGTGCTTCCAGCCCTCGCTTCCAAAAGCAGAGCACGGACACACAGGAAGCTTCTCCAATGCTGTAGGAGGTGGGGAAACTGAGGCACAGCAGAGGGGTGAGAACCACACAGCCCCTGCAGCACTGGGACCCCGGGGGCACTGAGCACAGCTGCAGGTGGGCGCTGAGCCCTGGGATGGAGCAGGGTGCCTGGGGCTGCCTGAGTTCAAAGCCTGAAAATCCAGCTGTGCAGCTCTGTCCTGGGTTGGCACCCATGGTGCTGCGCTCAGCCCCTCGTTCGTCCTGCCCTCAGACCCTTCACAGCCCTCCTTTGGATGCTCTCTGATAGCTTTATGTCCTCTGTGTCCCTTCCATCCCCAGTGCCAAGCTCCAATTCCACGCCTGGAGGTGATGTCCCCAGGTCTCTGAGCTGTCCCACCCCCTCCCACTCAGCCCACAGGGTCTCCCCCACCCCCAGCCCTGCGGTGCCCTCAATGTTTGGGGTTGGCTCTGAGTGTTGGGATGGGGATGGCTGTGTTTGGGGTGTGAGGTCCCAGGGGACAGCAGAGGCTCAGCTGTTGTTTCTAACTCTGTCCTGGCTGCCCTGGGAAGCCCGCTGGCTCTGTAATCACCTCTGGGGTCAATGGAAAGGGAGACAACTCCTGGTAGAAGAATGGATGAGTGGGATGGCCCCAGGGCCAAGAGTTGGGGATGGGACCCACCAGCACTGCTGCAAAGCCACGTGAGGGGCAGCAGCTTCGTGTGGGGTGTCCAGCCACTTGTGGGGGTCGGTTGTCTTGAATTTGGGGCTCTGACACCTTCAGGATGTGGCGCACAGGGATATGGTCAGTGGGCATGGTGGGGATGGGTTGGGTTGGATTGGGCATCTCAGAGGTCTTCTCCAGCATTAATGATTCCCGGGGTCCAACCTCCCCATACAGCTTTGGGAATTCAGTGTTGGCATCCATCTCCTCAGAGACAGCCCTGCTTTGAATCAATTTGTCCCAAGCACTGGGGGATATTATTTTGCAAAGAATTTGACCTCAAACTGATCTTCCCCATAGATTTCCAGATTGTCCCCATCCTACATATGAAGAGCTCAGAAAGCATCTCATAAAACTACAGGCGACATCTCATAAAGCAACCCCAGTGTCTCCAGGCAGCTCGATCACTGGGTATTGGACAGTGATAGGGACCCAAAATGTCCCCATGACATCAGGGGGATGGGGACACCCATACCTCCTGCTGGTCCCACAGCTCAAAGCCTAGGGCTGAGAGGAGCCCCTCTCCCTCCCCTCCTCCTCCGCCCAGGTCCCTACAGAGGACGAAACCTGAGCCTGGAGCCAATGGCATCCCAAAATTGCCTGCGCTGCACCCTGAGCCCCGGTCCCCAGGCAGGGCTGCGGGGAATGCAGGGCCTTTTGTCACCAGCTAAATTTGGTTCCTCTGTGTGCACGGAACAATCCCAAGGAGAGATGCTGGAGGCACAGCCTTATAAAGGACTGCCGTAACACCTCCTCCTGCAGCCTGGGATCCACCACGCTGATCCTGTGCCTGCTGGGAGCAGAGCAGGTGAAGCCAGGATGGGACTGCCACTGCCACTGCCACTGCCACACTCATTGCCACCACTACTGAGCCCACAGCAGCAGGGGGGCTGCTGCATCGCCCCCCCATGGCACAGGTCCTGCAGGTGTCCTGGCAGTGGGAGGAGATGGGAACTGCACATGTTCAGTGGGACATGGGGCTGCTGTAGCCCCCATCACTGGAGCTGCCCCACGCACACAACTGCGTGTCCCTCTGTGACCATAATAGATGTAGGATTAAAATACCAGGCATTGTCCTGCTGGGCTGCACGCTGGGGATTGTTTGCTCCTAAATTTGCCCCTAAAAATATCCTGGGAACAGGTGCTGCAGCCCTATGGGCTGCATGGAGCCTCCTTCTGTGGGGACACCCGGCTGGGGGGCAGGGAGCAGCTTAGGAGATGGAAACTGCTTGAGCATCCCAACCAGGACCTGGCTGCTCCTGACCCACAAACCTGCACTCAGCTCTAACCAAGCGCCTGGTGTTGTTGGTGGAACCCCCTCCCCATCACCCCCACCAGTGGGGATGTGCACTGCTGCCCTGGCAGCCCTGTGAGCAGCACTGCTGTGGGTACATCACTGCAGCTCATGGGCTGTGCATACAACAGCTCTTCACCCCATCTCCTTTTCTGCCATAAAAATAAATAAAATTGAGAGATTTTCCGCAGAGAGAAAAGCCATGCAGAGACACGGCCTCGCGAGTTTTGCCTCCTTGCAGGGCTTTGCCCAGCACTGCGTGGGAGAGGAGCGGAGTGGGAAGCGCACGGGCGCTGCTGCTGCACCCTGGATGCATCCATCTGTGCACAGTGGGCAGCGAGCAGCAGCAGAACTGACCTCATGCAAACAGCAGGCGTTGCTGTGAGCGCGTTGGGGTCACGGTGCAACAAACCCTGCTGCAATGCACGCGTGTGCCCGAGGCAGCACCCCAGGTGTGCGCTGCACGTCACGGGGCAGTGGGGCTCGCAGTGCACCAGAGGGGATTTGTGCTATTTTTACTGACCACTTGGAAGCCAGCTGAGGGTTAACACTCCCCCTCCGCCGCCGGGCCCCGCAGTGCTCAGCTCTGCAGACACCAGGCAGCAGCTCGCAGGTAAGAGGGTCCCCCTGTGGGATTGCTGGGGATGTGGGGCTGTCGGTCCCCAGCTGTGGCAGTCAGTTCCATCTGAGTCGGCCACCAGCGCCGTTCTGGGGTGGATTGAGTCCTTCTGTGGCTGCTTGGGGTCGCTGGTGGGAGCGGGGAGGTGGGCTTGGAGTGCACCCAGTGTGGCTGCAGGGGGATGGCAGAGCTGGCTGCGTTTGATTTTACAGGGCTATTTCTTTTAACGTTTTCTCTGCTGTTGTGTTTTATGAAACTTTTTATGGCTGGAGACGTGTGATCAGAGCAAAATGAGCTCGTCCTGATCGTGTCTCCATCAGAGAGCAAAGTCTTTTACGGATGCTCTGGGTCTGGAGCCCCCAGGTCCCTGACACGAGCTCACCAGGCGCGTCCTGCTGCTCCTCTAGCCCTCTGGGAAGCCAAATTAGAACTATTTTGCCCTAAAACTTGGTTGTCCTTGGTAGAGGTCGCTGGGATGGGGTCTGGCGTGGGTCCCACCTCCTGGAACGTGGCTTTGTTCCGAGGGGAAGGAGAGGAACGCCACGAGGCTCCTCCAGCTGCTGCTGCGCTGCTGGGGCACAAAGGGTTTTCTGTCCCCCCTGGGGAATTCAGGAAGGTTGGGGTCTGCCCTCAGCCTTCCCCGTGTGTCCTCTGGGGTGTTTGCTGTGTCACCAAAAACCTCCAAATAAAAGCGTGAAATGGGCAGCTGATGTCTGACTTTTGCTAAAAAAAAATACATATATCCTATTTTTGGGGTTATTCTCTGTAAACCCTGGGGCCCAGCAGGCTCTGTGGGATGGGGCTCCTGTGGGGATCTGTGGCTTTTCTCCCCCAGCTGCAATGCTTCAGGTGAGAGTTGTGAGGCAGTGGGGACAACGTGAGGGACCTCTGCCCACATACTGTGCATTGCTCAGCCTGGGGGCACCTCTCCAGGACCAGAGCAACTCTTCTTAATTGTCCCCTTTGCTGTTTAAAATGGTTCCCAAATTCACTGGGGGGTGCAAAGAGGTCGGTGGAGGTGGAACAGCTGAGCATGGAGGAACACCAGCAGCTCCACCAGCACCGGCAAGAGCCATTTGCTACTGAGATGCACCTTCAGTTTGGATGCAAAGAGGGAAGGAAGATTCGATGGGCATTTTCCCAGTGCTTTTCCCACCCCTGGGCTCACGCTGTGAGCAGCCAGCAGGGGCTCAGCACACAGCAGCTGCCGGGGCATAGGGTTACTGAGAGCATTCCAAGTATGAAATGGCGAGCGTTCCACGGTTGAGCAGCACTGGATGCTGGGTCTGAGCAGAGGGGGTGGGTGGTGACCCCTCATTCCACCCATCCCGTGCACACCCAGACCCACAGGTCTCCACCCAGTGAGGAGTGGGGCAGGCATTGGGAAGCTCCATGGGGCACCAGGGCTGCTCCCCTCCATTGGCAGCAGCCAACACCGTTTTGTGGCTTGTTTCATCCTCCTCTCTCATGTTTGTTGATTTATTTACCAACCCATCTCTATATTTGCTTGATTATTTCTGCACGTTATTTATTTATTTGTGCCTCTGTGTGTTTTCAGGAGATCAGCCCAGTGCCACGATGCCGGAGCCGTAAGTAGTGCTGCTTCATCTCCCCCCAGGGCTCTCCCACTCCAACCCACTGAGCAGCTTCTTTTTTTAATGGGGTTCAGACTGGAGAACGCATTGCTTGGGACCTCTGTGCTGTTCCCTTCGTAAAAAATCATCTCTCTTCAACTAAAAATGCATAGCAACCTCTGTGTCCTCATTGGAAGCTTGGAGCTTTCTGAGGTCAGAGGACCTGAAAGCACAGAATCACAGAATTCTGGCTTTTTGAGAGGGGACTTTCAGCTCCCAGAGAGCCGCATCTGCTCAGCCTGGCTGCAGGCAGGGCTCACTGCGGGTGCGAGTCCTTGCACACAGAGACACTGAAACCAATGGCAATTCCAAGGGAAACTTCTGACTGCCCCCTCCTTCTGATTCCCACTCATTGATGCTCTGTTCTCTCCTCTCCTTCACTGCTCCTGCCCAAATGCGCCTGCCAGCAGGGAGGTGAGTGCTGCTCCTTTTGAGAGGGATCATGATGCTCCCCTGCCTTTTCTCCGAGTTGGTTTTCAAAGCTTTTTCCTTCCCCTTTCCCCTAGAGAAAATCCAAGATCACAGCCTCGCGCAAGCTCCTGTTGAAGGTGAGTCCCGAGGGCTGGAAACTCCCTGGGTTTGGTGGAACAGGAGCTGTGCGGCTGGTGGGATGGTGGTGGGGAACGGCAGCTCCCACTCCCACCTCTCTTCTGAGAAAGCTCACTGATGTGGGCTGTGGCTGATAGAGCAAATCTCCCCTCCCTTCCCCCTGTGTGAAGCTCTGAGCCCTCCTGCTCTGCAGCCCCCGTGTGTTGGTGCCCCTGGGCTGTGCAGCACCACCCTGGCTGCTCCCCTTGCTGTGGCTTGGGGAAGTCTCTGCCGCAGCAGAGCAAAGGCACACAAGTGCTGAGGTCAGCATCCCACCGGCACCTTTAGAGACCTCAGCAGTGGGATCTGCCCATCCACACCTCCACCGTCTGCTTGTGCCCGCAGAGCTTGATGCTGGCAAAGGCCAAGGAGGAGTGGGATCAGGAGATCGTGGACAAACAGTCAGAGAAGGAGAGATACCTGTCCGAGCGCATCTCCCCGCTGCACACCAGCGGTCTGTCCTTGAGCCAGCTTCAGGTACATCCCTGCCCCAAGCATGGAGTGGTGGCTGTGCAGCACTGGGGCCATCGCTCACCTCTCTCGTGCTGTGCTTGGCCGTAGGATCTGTGCCGGGAGCTGCACGAGAAGGTGGAGATTGTGGATGAAGAGAGATATGACATCGAAGCAAAGTGCAACCATAACACTAGGGAGGTAGGAAGGAGAAGGCAACTTCCACACTCTCCTGATCACCCCTCGTGGGTCTGAGCACTCCTTCTCACGGTCCAGCTGCCATCCAGGTGGGCTGGGACAAGGCAGTGACAGCTCTGGGTGCAGGGAGAGGTGGCCCTAAGGGCAGAGGCTTGGATCCTGCTGGGGCTTGGGGTCAGCACTGACTGCTGTTCCACCAAGGCCTCCTTCCCTTGCCCCCATGCAAGGCTTCCATTCAGTGACCTCCACATCCTGCCTTCCCCATGCTGCAGATTAAAGACCTGAAGCTCAAAGTCCTCGACTTGAGAGGGAAGTTCAAGCGGCCCCCGCTGCGGAGGGTCCGCGTCTCTGCCGACGCCATGCTGAGAGCTCTGCTGGGCTCCAAGCACAAGGTGTCCATGGACCTGAGAGCCAACCTGAAGTCTGTCAAGAAGGAGGACACAGAGAAGGTGGGTGGATGGAGGGATGTGCAATCAGCAGGTATGCAGAGGTCATAGTAAGACTACCAAAATAAATGGAAATGCTCACCAGGGCCATAGGCTCGCAGCAAACTCCCCAAGGATCAACCTCCAGAAAGAGACCCTTCCTCAGTGGCGGTCAGCACTTAAATAGGATCTAGGAGAGGTTCAGCCAGGCTCCACCCCTTCCAGCAGCACAGGTGAATTGGGTGAATTGCCTTCACCTGTGCTCCCACATCTCAGTGGGATGCCTTACTCAGACTCAGTGCCTGCCTTAGGTGGACAATCAGACATTCAGGCTGTGATCAACATTTCCCATATGAGGGACCTCCCAGGGCTGCCCTTGTCCTTCAGCCTCTGAGGACTGTCCTCATGCCTCGTAAGCCTCAGAAATAGCAGGTTGAGCTCATTGTGTGGATCATAGGACCACCTGGGAGCTGTTGGGCTGCAGCAGGTAATGGCAGATGATGGCAATGGAGGATGGTGTCTGTTGAGCTGCAAATGCAGAGTTTGGTCTTTGGTCTTCTTGGGTGCAAGGAGAACTCTGATTTGGTGCAATCCCAGTTACAAACACCCAGGAGACTCCCAAGCACAGATGAGATAAGAGAGAGCCAGCGCAGCAAGCACACTTGGCAGCAGAGAGGCAGCCCAGCTCACAGCAGCTCTGCAGAGATAAGAGAAGGGAGTGAGTCCCAGCATCGCACTGGGACTTTCTTGCCTTGGCTCCTTGCTTTGGTCCACCTTGTGCTTCGTAGCCACAAGGAGATGACTTTTAGGTCAGACCATCCTGGCAGTTCCACACAGAGTGCTTTGACAGCCCCATGGAGTCTGGAGGACTTTTTTTCAGTGCCTTGTTCAGGAATCGCAACTTTTTGGTCCTTCCTGGAGCAGCAGCAAAGTTGGGATGTCCAGATTCCTCCTAGAAGAGTTGTGCTGCTATCCCAGTGCCTCTCCTGGGTTTTACCTCCTGGTCCCAGCTCAGCAGTTTGCACAAAAGCTTCAATTTTCTGCTCATTTTTCCTTTTTATTTTTTTTCCCCCGTTGTTGCTTGTAGGACGTATTTTCAGCCCTTCGGACAGAAAACTGCACTTACAGGTCTCAACGCCAGGTGGTGATCAGATCTGAGTTTATTTTAGATGCCGTGAGACGATTTGGGAGCGCGGCTTGTCATCTATGAATGCCTGTGGGCCGGCAGAGCCGGTGCCTGGGCACGCACCCAGGGCTGCCTCCTCCCCATTCTGTCCTACTGGGCTCTCCCTGCACCTCCAGCACTCCCAGCCCCATCCAAGCTGAGCTCTCCTTGCAGTGAAAGTGCTTCTGCTTGCACTCGGTGCGCTGGTGTAGAACTGGAATAAGTCCCACATCAGCTTCATCCTCCTATGGAGAATTTCAGAGTTTCATGCAGCTTTGGGTTGGTAGCCTCGTGCATCCAGAGCTCCCTGCTGCAGCTCCCCTTGGCCAGCCACGCGCTCAGGGCAGAGCTCTGATGGAGGGGGCATTTGCAGGAGGGCAGCAGCTGGCCGTGTGCAGGGCTCTGTGCAACGGGGAGGGGAGCCGTGGGGCTGCCAGTGCTCTGTTCCCACCCCCTGTCCCCGTTGTCCCCATCCCCCTGGCAGGAGCGCCCCGTGGAGGTGGGTGATTGGCGCAAGAACGTGGAGGCCATGTCGGGGATGGAGGGGCGGAAGAAGATGTTCGATGCTGCCAAATCCCCCACAGGACAGTGAGAGGTAATCGCAGTGAGCGTCATCCCGGCTGGGATCCTTGGGCCGCTTTTTGGGAAGCTCCTCTTCTGCCCCACTGCTCTGCTTTGTTTCTCTCCCACAGGAGCACCAGGACAGAAGAACATCCCCAACCCTTCTGGCTGCCCCCTGCCCCCCCGCCTTGCTGCCCCTCTGTCCTCTTTGCACCCTGAACTCCCCACTGTGATGAATCATGTGGACAACCACCTAGGAAGGAGATCTTCCTTTCAGCTCTGCCTTTCTCCCCACTCTCAGTCTCACCCACACAAGATGTGCTCTTGGAGGGGCCCCCACCCCCTCCCAACTCTGCAGAGAGGGGACAGCCCCGCTCCCCCTATTCCCAAACCTCCAGCACAGCCTGAGATGTGCCCATGTGGCTGCACGTGTATTAAAGGATGGTCTCTGGGGCCGAACACTGCATGAGCTCATCTCTGCATTGGCCAAGAGTAGGTGTGGGTACATAGCAAGACAGCCCGGTCCTTTCCTGTGCCCTGGGCTCAGCCTTGCACGGAGATCATCTCTTCCAGCCCCCATCACACTGGTATCCCCAGCTCTGCTGAGCCCCCGCCCCAGCCTCCCCGTCCCCCTGTCACTTCCTACACCACTGCAGAAATGGGGTGGGTGCACCCCATAATCGTGTCTCCCACTTGGATGTGGTGCCTTTGGGATTGGAGATCCCAGTTCGGCCACGGTGCCACTGGGTGGGAGATCCACCATCACGACCCCAACAGCAAACACGAAGGGTTTCAGCTCTGACTGTGCTGCCCGTGTGGGCACTGTGCCGAGGCTGCGTCCTGGGATCCCCAGAGGGAACTCACACACATGGCTGTGATTCTGGCAGGGGAAGAAAGGTGTGGAGGGAGAGGCAATAACTGTACCTGACCGACTGGAATAGCTGGAAAATGCAGGGAGGTTTCATGGAAACAAAGCCTTCTTCAGAGCTGAAACAGAAGCAGAAAACCCAAACCGAGTTGGGGTCGAGAACGAAGCTCTGAGCTCAGCACAATTATGATAATTGGGTACTTTACAAACAGGGGTGGTGTTTGTGGGGCAGGGAGGGATGGCAGTGAGATGAAAGGCAATGGAGGGGTGGGTGCTGTGGGACCGGGCTCTGGTGGGCACCGCCTGGATGCCCAACACATCGCCAAATCCTCCACGCTGAAACGCCGTGTGTTGCAGCAGAGCGATGCCCAGGGCTCACCAGCACACCCTGCAGCCAGGAATGCGCTCGCTGCAGGCTGTAGCTGGCTCTGTATGGTCAGATCGGGTTTAAATTGAGGGGCAAATAGAAAAAAGGTTCATCGGCTTTTCCAAATATCTTGTTTCCCCGTCTCTGCATCCTGCTCTCATCCTTCCCTGGTGGAAACCCCTTCTTACCACCATGGATTGCCATGAGTGACCACGAACATTTTACCCTGGGAGTGTTTGCAGCCCTGTTGGTGGTGGGAGCTGCAGAGGAAGGGCTGGGGGCAGCGGGCAGCCCTGGGTTGGGTGAGTTTGTCCCCACAGCCCCTCCAACCCCACGGCCCCTGCAGAACGCTGCACGAGGTCAGTGCTAGGCTGCCAGCTTATGGAGAAGCTAAACTCTGACCCGTTGCTCATATCAGAGGGAATTCCTCATTAATTACAACTAATTTCCTGTGCTATGAGGGATGCAATCTGCCGTGCAGCTGCTTTCCAGCTGGCAGCATCAGTTACTTCATGTAATGCAACCTGAAAGGCTGCCAGTGACGCTGCTCCTGGGGGACAGCCGTACCTCTTCATCATTAGCTGTGGCCGTGGGGCATCACAGGAGATGGATTCTGCCTGAGGAGGCCTCTGCAGAGGATGGCAGGAACCTGAAGGACTCTACAGCACCCCTAAGGCACCACAGAGGCAGCTGTGAACCGAGGCATCCAGTGCTTGTCTAAAATCTTTTCTCTTCTTCCTTCCTTCGTTGGGATTTGTTTGATTTCTGAGCCAAAATGAACCGACCTGGGATGCCTTCCTGCTTGGCTTCCCTCTTCCAGTGGAGGTACCTCCGTGCTCCCAGTTTCTCACCCTTCACACCCACCTTCCCCAGAGCTGGAGGAGTTTTAGCCAGGGAGCAAAGTGCGATGGAGGAGCGGAGCAGGGGCCGATGTCAGGACCAGCGGATGGGTGGAGGTGCAGGATGAGCTGCTGGGCCCCGGGGCGAGGCTGAGGAATGCCCCAATTACAGCACAATTATGAGAACTGGAAGCTCTCCACTGCCCTCAGCCAAAGAAACACACGTGGGGATGAGGCACAGGACAGTGTTCCCAAGGGAAATAATCCTGGCCGATACTGGCCTGGCTCCTTAATGGGTATAAATGGGTGTCCTCTGCTGCTCTGCACCAGGTGAGGTTCTGGCCTCCTGCTCCATTCCCAGGAGCAATGGCTGGAAAAGCCACAGCTCAGAGGGAAAGTCCAAACAGAGATAAATATTGAGGGAATAGATGGGAAACAGTGATGATGAGATAGCAAAACCTGGTGCTAACTCTGGCATTTTCAGCATAGCAGAGATGAAGGACAATGATGAATGCGCTCAGAAGGTTCTTGCAGGGCTGGGATTTGGGGATAAAATGGCAGATGGCCTTACAGGGAAAATCCAACATGAGTTTGTGCATAAACGACTGGCTCATGATTGGCCATTGCCAACGTTGGAGTGACAGTTTGGAGTTACAGCAAACACAAAAAAACATTGAAAGAGGAGGAGAAAGATGAGCTGACCGCTCTGGGGCAGCAAATGTCTCACACCAGTGGTGTCCTGATGGCTGGAGATCAACGCTTTGTGCTGCCAAACAGCTCAGCTTGAGGCGGCCCAAAGCAATGGGGAGGTGGGAGCTGTTCCTATGGCAGGGAACAGAGCTGGGAACTCCGTGCTGGAGGAGAAACTCACAGAGGGGTCTTTAAGATCTCTAAAAGGGGTCTTTAAACAGGCCTCTGAGCTGAACATAAAGATCAGGGCAGTCGGAGGGGTGAGCATCACCAGTGCTGATCCTCTGCCTGACCGCTGTCCGCTAAATCCTGGCTACGATTTCTTCATCTTCATCATAAAAGGAATCACAAACCACAAGGTTTTATGTTCCTTTTCTCCACAGATCCTACCTGGGGGTGTTCTTTCACTGCGCTCAGCCTAATCCTCCTAAAAGTCCTGCTAAGTCCTGTGCCTCAGTGATATCCTTTGGCAATGAGTTTTGCAAGTAAAGCGCTCGCCGTGCATTAATCAGAAAGGTTCATTGCTCTCTAGCAGCTCGCTGATGCTGGACGGCTATATATAGTTTGTCAGCAATTAGTGGGACACTTACAAGGTTATTTAAGTAAGTTCTTTTCTTTGTGCCGCAACTCACGGAACTCCTTGTATGGGTGACAGCACTTGAAAGGCAACAGTGACAGCAAAGAGAAAGAAAAGCAGAACCGGCTCGGGGTGGGAGGCCCGTGGGACATAGATGGCCTTCAGAGATGGAGTTTTGCTCAGGAATTTTTGGCACAAAGGGACCAATGGGGCCCTCAGTTCCGCTCAGGTCTTGGCACACCTGGAGGAATTGGGGTCCAGGGAGCAGCCAGAAGGACGATGGGTTTGTGGGGCTGAGGATGGGCGCCCCAAAATCCCCGCTGGTCGGCTCCCTCAAGTCCTTCTGCGTGCTTCCCAATGCAGCAAAGCTCACAGCAATGGGGAGGCCACAAGAAGTCCAGAAAGAAAAAAAAGGCTTCAAGGAGCATGGCACCCTCCCATCTCTTTGGGCACGCTCTGCACCCAGCCGGAGGTGTTTAATGACTGTTTTGGATCCCGGAGAGCCAGCGGCTGCCTCCTCCCACGCGCCCACGGTAATTCACCTCCTCCAGCCTCTCGCAGGAGGCGGTGACGGGTGCAGGGTGCTGGTAGAACAGGTTCTGGGCTGGGAGTTGTCTCCAAAACCCTGGGAGACCTGGATGGATCCAGCCCAGAGCGCGGGTCTCTCTGCGAGCCCTGGCACAGCAGGCAGTGAGCTGAGCTCTGCTTTGCGTGGCACTGCTGGGCAGGGCGGCTTTTGCACGGCGCTGCTAGTAGACAAATTACAGCCCTGCCTCTGTCCAGGTAGATAAGAGACCATGTGATGCAGCGGGGTGGAAAACGGGCTGCAGGAGGGTAAAGGTGCACAGGGAAATAACCTTGCAGGTTCCCTCCCTCCTCGGGCAGCCAGTCCACGCCAAACCACCTTAGCCTGGATGCTTGCAAGGTTTTGGGGCTGCCGGAGACCCACGAGAAGCAGTGATGTCTTTCAGCAGGAGGAATTGGTCTGACCTCTCCAGGTGAGTTAGGGCAGCGAGGATGGGGTCAGGGTGGGCTGCTGGCACTGCGGGCTGTGGGGAGGACGGGGGTTGCCATCGGGTGCTGGTGCTGCCCCATCAGTGCTTGGTGCTGGGGGGGTTTCTCGTGGGTCGGTGAGACCTGGAGTGATTTTGTTTCTTCTGCCTATGGGAGAATGGAAGCAGCTCTGGAGAGTTATCCTCACCCCATGCCAGGTATGTTCCTGGTTTTGGGGTCCGTTTGCTGTTCTCTGTGCTGGTTCTGGGAAGGGCTGTGGGGTTTTGTGCTCTGCTGTGCTTGCGAGGCCCCCATTGCATGCCCAGGCTCTGCCCATCTGATTCATCCCCACACCAAACCTGCCCGGCCCCATGGCTGTGCCCTTCCCGAAAGGGATTTGGGTTCCAATGGGAGCTCCTGAGCTGGGGGAGGTGGGGGCAGGGGGCTCACACGCAGCCCAGGGACGTGGGGTCGGTGCCGGCATTGCACACACCCAGAGCTGGTCACAGTGAGTCACACACAGCCCACAGAGCGGCGTAAATCCCTGCCTGGCTGTTGGCTCACCCAGCCAAACGGCCTCTAGGATGGCTGTAGTTTGGGGTAAAACACCCAATGGGATCAGCTCAGAACTGGGAACTGATCCCCCAGTGCTCAGGGACTGTCAGGGCGCATCAGTGCCTCTATCACCGGGCTCTGG